CCTAAATATGGAATAATTACTTTTAAAGTAATTTTGAAATTGGTGTACCTATTTAATTAGAAATTAATTATATTATAAGACTAGCGACTCACCCTCGCTTCACTCGGGTTCGTCCCTTGGTTGATTATCCATATAAATTACCAACTTTCATATCCATTTTCACCCTCTTATGGATTTCCAGGATAACAAGTTTCCTTTGTCCTTCCCAGGGTCTTAAACTATCAGAAGATAGTTACCGATATATACCGATTTAGATGAAATTTAGTAAGAATACTAAACATCTAAATCGGTTCAGTAGATCCAGAGATTACCCGCTACAACCTCACAAACTTTAGTTCTTTATTTACATTAATAGAGACTAGTTCATGTCCACGGTATTAGTAACTTTTAGTTTAATATCCTTGCAAGTTGCAATGTAGTTCAGTATTGAGTTGTATCATCTAAAAATAGCAGCCATTTGCGTTTAGCAATCGCGAGAGGGAAGGGCAGAAAAATGTTTGATAAAAAAAGTATTTGGGATGAATCATAGACAAATAAATTCCGTTAGAACCACTATTTACATGTTACATTTTTACTTTTATCTAAATGACTAGTAGCCTTCATTTTTGCTAACATAAAAAGAAGAAAATTGATTTGTTATGTTAAGAGTAAAATATCTGGTACTACTAAATTCCTTTTCCGATGAATGAGTTACTTTTCCTATGTATCATGCGAAAGAAACCGTGGCTTAAAGCTAGTATTCTATATAAAACTGACATTATTATAATATTAACAGTTTGTCACTCAAAAGGAAGTACCAAGCGATAGTTTGCTCCTGCTTATCATTATCCGTTTGGAAAACTTTCACCGTTAAAAAAAATTACGTTGGTACAGTATCTATTTGAAACACTTAAAAAATAAACAAAAAGCAAGCATCTTATATTTTATATTTAGAAATGAATTTGTCATCTTACGAATTGTAGCGGATATTAATGACATTATCAAATATTTATCGTTGTATGGTATCTCGAGCGTTAGGTATTCTGTCGACAAGTTAGATCAAACGTCACAAAGTCGTATCAAGTATTGTGGAAAATTTGTTATTAGGTATGTTAATTATAAAAAAAAATACCAATAGTTGCTTGTCTTTGACCATACCATTACTATTTTAATTAAGGACTAGCGATTCACCCTCGCTTCGCTCGGGTTCGTCACTGGCTTTCTTTCCAATACAAACTTTCATCCCCATTTTCACCTTAAGGAATGATTTCTGGGATAAAAAGTATCCTATGACCTTCCCAGGGTCTCAAACTATCTTCATAGCAAATTTCATCTAAATCGGTTTTTTAGATCCAGAGATTACCCCCTACAACTTCACAAACTCAAAATCTCACAAACTTTACCTCTTAATAATATTAGTATAGATTGAAAATTAAGACAGGCAATACCTACAATGACATACCTAATAGGTAACGGCTACATTTTGTTTTTAATTCATCCCCTAAAACATCAGTCAAAAAAGTACTGATAAAATCAATCATCGCTCATTTGAACATTTTAACACGCTTTTAATTAAAAAAAAATAATTAATTTGTAAAAATAACTGTAAGCATTGCTTTTGAGGTTCAATTAACATTGTAATATTGGTGACAGTTTTAAGACAACTTTTGCATGGGATTGTGTATCTAGTACTTTTGATCGATGCTCTAAAAAAATGAATTAGATTAGCAAATTGAATTGGAAAAGTGAAGGAAATTAATATTTATCCTTAACGTTAAAATTTGATGTTTATAGTTTTCGTCAGTTTATAAAAGACTATATTCTAGCGTTTTAAAAACCAACCTTTTAGGAGACACGGGATTTCAAAAATTGTGTCAGGTAGAAATTCATTAATTCAGAAATTTATACATATAATAAAACTGTAGAGGTCGAATGTCTGTATATAGAAAAAAAATGCTAAAAACCGAAGTAAGAAGAGAAATAGAACAAAATCCAAATTTCTTTCAAATTTTTTATTTCTCTGTCTGTTTGTATGGGCTAATCTCCATAACTGTAGGACCGATTTAAATGAAATTTTGCATGGTGGTCCCTCATATCCCCGGTCAACAGGTTTTAGATACTTTTGCTCCCCGAAAATTAAACAGTTCCCGTGGGATAGTTAAAACACTATAGTAACTTATACAGCTTAGTACACATCAACTTATACACCTAATTTAGTAGGCATGCTGATACCTTATATTGCTGGTCAAACAACAGGTTACTTTTTATCCCGAAAAAATGAAAGTTTCCCGTGGGATAATCTATTTGTGCTTTTCTAGAAGCGAAACCGAGCGAAACGAAAGTAAGCCGCTAGTTTGATATAAAAATGAACCGTAGTTGCTAATATTTTCTCTCCAAACAAATGTAAATGAGTCGTCGAATAAAAATGTTCGTTCACTTCTGTAATAATTAAGGCCTTTAAAGTTCTACTGCTGGGCACGGGCCTCCTCACAATACGACGATCAGGTATTGTCTTATCGGACTTCACAATTAACCTAATCTATCATGTCAAAATTATATGCTCGATTACATAATTTAAGAATTTATACTTTAAAAAGGTAAAATCTTTAGAAAATTATTTATATCGGCGATGATCCGACGATGAAAACGTTACTTGCTAAAATTGTACATACGGTATAAAACATTTTCATCTATCACAGGTATGTACGTAAAATGTTCGCATTCCGTGCCAAAAATATATTATTTGCTAACTTGACCTAGCTGAATTATTGACTCCGAAGATTGCCCCAACACATAAAATGTACTCGCTGAAATTTTAACTGGCAATTTAGTAATTTAGTACAACACTTAGGACGTATTTCACAAACTAGTCACAAATATCTCTCTGACCTACAAAACCTTTGATTAAAGGGTAAAATATTTAAAGGAAGTCTGCTTCCTCTAGCATTCTCCTCGCGTAGAACTTACAACAATCATTTATAGTTTGTTCAATATAAAACGTTTCTTTTGTATCGTAATGTGAAGGTGAAGGCTTTCCTAAAATCACTATTCACTAGGGCCCGAATTATGTGCAAATATAAATGTACTTCGATCTTCTTGTAAATTATTTTTCCCTACACTGTTTTGCTTTTTATTTTTATAATTTAAGGTAAAAGTTTAAATTGTGTTAGAATATAACTTACTAAACTATGGTATGGTTACTTAAAAAATGATGTTTTATTTGAGTCAACTAGCCTCTGGCGGGGGCTACGCACGGATGTTTTTATATTATGTATATTACACTAGCGGCTCACCCTAGCTTCGCTCGGATTCCCTTCTAGAAATACAACAAATCTATCCCGCGGGAACCGTACATTTTTAAAGAATAAAAAGTAGCCTATGTGCTATGCCAGACTATAATCTATGTCTGTGCCAAATTTCATCCAGATCCGTTTCTGCCGTTCTGGCGTGATTAAGTAACAAACATACAAAAATAAAAACTTTCATATTTATAATATTAATAAGATTACAATTACCTACAATATGTAACACATGATATAAGGCAGATTATTTTAGAGTTGTCTATCCTAAATCTATTATGTTAAAATATATTTAGGTAAAGTAATTAGATCTTTTAAACTTCCCTCAGCTGGATACAGGCCTCCCTTCAATGCTAGGGAGATCATGTCACGATCTATCATTATGGCCAAGTGCGGGTTGGTGGACTTTATATATCTTACGAAAACTAATCGGGCTCTCTCTGACATGCAGATTTTCTCACGATGTTTTCCTTCGCCGTAGGGCAAGTAAGTGGTAACGTTAAAAATGATTTGCAGATCAATCTATTAGAGGTGCGAACCCCGGTGTTCCGTCGAAAGTCCGCGACACGACTTAAAACGGAAGTGATCCTTACTAATATCACGTATTAATAAAGACTATTTTTGTTGGTCTGTCTTTCACGCAACAACAGAAATATTACTTCATAGAGATAAGTTTCTAATATAAAATAGTATAACCTGCTTATGATTTTAAAATGTAATGTGTTCTGTAGAATATTCGTATATTTTACATTGTAAAATGTAAAGACACTGATGGCGGCTACCTTTTCAACCGACTTCAAAAAGGAGGAGGTTCTCAATTCGACTGTACGTTTTTTTTTTTTTTTTTTTTATGTTTGTTACCTCAGAACTCCGTCATTTATTAACCGATTTGAACAATTTTTGTTTTGTTTGAAAGGGTGTACTTCCAGATTGGTCCCATTTAAATTTCAAAAAAAAATACCACCCCTAAGGGTGGAAAAACAACTAATGATGAATTTAACCTACTTCTAATTGTCATATTGACTTGAAACTTTGCAAGTATTTCTATTTCCGTTGATAGTACAGTGGTTCGGTGTTGTTGACCTGATCTGATGGCAAGGCCAGAAGGTGGATAGGTGGAACTCTTCAACGGCTAATAGTAGATACTTTGAGTTTGGGCTTATTTTGTTTTATAATATAATAATAACAAAAACGATATTTTATTGACATTTCTATTCTTGTAAAACATAAAAGTCAATTAAATGTATTAACAAACATCAAATAACAGTATTAAAATGCATTTGCTCTTTCTTGGTTTCCTAAGCTATCATATAGGTTTCATGTAAGCTGAAGTCTGTCGATTAAATAATTCGCTAGTATAATAAAATTATGAAGTACTTCAGCAAAATTACGTTACTGAAACCTATTGGACTGTAAACATATATAAATTAACAGTAATTGGTAAATTTCATGTATGGGTACACTCGTCAGTAATAGAAATATGAAATATTTAATTCTTCATACACTTAAACCCCCTACTTGTAAAGTTCGAGTGTAGCTACACGCTCATCTATTTTGCCAAATTTTCTTTGATTTGTGCAACTGTTAAATAACAAAATGAAGTTTTGCAATTAAGATGTAAACCATTTACGACATTTCATCGCGCTAGCTTACAATTTATCGTATCTATGATTAATTACAAAATGCTACAAATAGTGGTTTAATTATAGCTAATCCACTCACCTGTCCATATCGTGAGGATGCCAAATGTACGTTCCTGTTCTTCAACGAGAAATCAGGCCTCTTGCCCAGTCCATAGTTGCTTTTGTTCTGGGATATGAACTTTTTTGGCCTGTCCAACCTCTCTGTGGAGCCTTCGGCATCCTCGTCGCGCTTCGAAGTCGATGGTATCCCTCGATAAGCACCCCTCGTACCCCTTATGGTTTTCTCGGGGCTCTTGTCCTGTTTCCTGGTAATTAGATTGTCTTTTCTCTGTTTGTTGCTGCGTAAAGACACATTGGACGCCATATTGTCCATATTTCTCCATCAAGCCACAAAATCAAAAACTATCACACTTTATATTCATTGTGATTACTTTATACTATATTTCGTTAATTAACAACTAACAAATGATAAAATAACTGAATAAATAATTATAGAGAAATTCATCACAATCTCAGGACTTTGTTAAATTCATTTCCTTTACAATATTTTTAGGATATAATGATTATGTAGGAATATGATTATTAGATTATAAAGCTATTTATTAATTAAATATAAAAAATAAATAAATAACTAATTCCGTCTTTTTATTCTCTCTCGCAATGTTGGCATCCTTCTTCGGCAATCACTCATACCCTACGCTAACCAAACAATATTTATACTAAAATATAAACAGTCTTGAGGGAAATTTTGGAAAAGTATTGCAGGATTAGTTGTTTTAATGATGTTATCTGAAACAAAAAAGGTACACCTGTGAAATACAATAATAATTGCTTAATAATAACTTGTCCTTATTGCCAAACAAGTTAAGGATAAAATGAATTATAACTGTATTACTGTATATAATCCAACCATAATATATAAATTTTTTATGTAAAAATATTATTGTTAAAAACGAGATGCAATTTTTATTTTTGAAAGTAGCTTTTTTTGTATATCAATTTGAAAAAGGAAATTACAACAACAAGTCAATTAATATATCATTTAAATAATATGTTGTCTTATATAAATATAGTTTACGATGTCGCTATCTTTCTAAGCCCCTGTCATAAAATAGTTTTCAATCAAATTAACTCCAATTTCCCACACATTAATATACAAGTAGCCAGTGGACATATTTATTTTAGGTAAAGATGCAATGCAGATCAATTAAGTGATAATAGAGACTAGAAGTGGATGGTGGTGGTAGTGATAATAGTTGTGGTATGAATACTAAATTCTAACTTTTCTTTTGAGATTCAAAATATATACAATAATAAACAATAATAAAACTTTTTTGTTATTAAATATGAACAGCACAAAATAAAATATTTATAAAATATTCTGATAATTTAAAGACACTATTAAATTAATTATTAATTTGCTAGTCAAAGTCAGTTGTACATAGAATCTACTTTGGAATAATGTTCAAGAGGATATATTTACAATTAAGTACACAAAAACACATGTTGCATCGTTTATCGGTTTCGATTATGCGATTCTGCACTTGACACGTCTATCTCCAAGAATGATTAATTCAATGATTCTAAGAGGTCAACACACTACTTTCGTCACGAACGTAATAACAAAACACTGGGCAAACGACACAATTAACTTAAACTAGGTGCCGGCAAAGATATGCAATACGAGAAAACACGAAGAAGACAGCAGCAAAGATTACGTCTGAATCACTTAAAATTTCTGACCATTCCACACGCGTAACTTAGCTATTTATTTAAAGATGTTCTAAAATCTGCATGCATTGGCCGTTTTATTACAATACGAATGGCGCATAGCTAAATCAAGCTGAATAAATAGAGTAAAAATTGCACTGACAGTCCGTCAAGCTCACAAAGCATGTATTTTCGGGCGACTGTAAATGTTTTTTACCTTGGGATCCGCATCGTCAAATACGTATAACTTTTAGTCGACTCATAAACGTTAAATTAGCTAAATTGATATTCGATTCTATAAATACTTACAAATAAAAATCTGGAATCACACCATTGTTTTTTCTTCTGCACAATCAGTAAATCAATGTTGCTATTGAAAAAAATGGCCTAAGGAAAAGTGGGTCATCGATCTTTTTTGCATATTTTATTTTGCACTTTCACTGGAAAAATTATTTTATTTTATAAAGAGTAACAATAAAATACATCATAACTAAAAGAATTTTAAGTCAATTTTGAACATTAACTTGCTTGGTTATAGATAAATAACAATATTTTATAAACTATAATAATTTTGGATTACTTAACTTTATTTAAAGCAAATATGAAATTTGTTAAATCGAAATTATTTACCATATGACTTTATCTAAATTTATAAATATATTTAATATTTATGTAAAAACATTGACATTTCATATTTTATGGGAAAAGTTCCCAATATTATATTGTATTTTCGTTACAATTTCAATAGTATTAGTATTTTTTATGTTTTAAATATTATTTTATATAAAATACTTTACTAAATAGTAAAATTAAATGCAGTTGTACATTTTTTTCTTATTATATTCTTAATGCATATTTCTTAAAATGGAACTGAATTTCAGTTTAGAAACAAATAATAAGTTGCAGTGATTATTACTTTGTTTTTATTTAAACTATTTAATGTGTTTAATCTTTTATATAAAATAAATAAGTAATATTTATTTTATTAATATCTCCTAAGATTAATGCATAAATCTATGTATGTCTAATGTAAGTGACATTATGATAGAAAAATTTAATTTTTGAACTGTAAATTGTGATGTCGATTGTGTACATGGCACATTTTTAATTTGTATCAATTTTGATTTTGCTTAAACATGAAGTGATAAACTATTTAGAATTTAATAGCAAAACATGGCATTTGTCAGTGCTGTTACCGGCGACGATTCCACGAAGAAATTCATGGACGTCCTACAGAATGACTTCAAAACTCTTAGCTTAGAAACCAAGAAAAAATATCCACAGATAAGAGAGGTAATAGCTTAATTTTTGAAATTAAAATAATCATGTTTAAATCATTTATTTATTGGGTTTTTCAAATTATGTGAGGGGATTTAATAAATAAGATTTACTATAATGCTCTCCTGAAATAATAAATGTTGTTTATGCTTTCAACTTTACAATAAAAATATAAGTAAACTATGTTTACACAAATGTTTAACTAATTTTTAGGCTTGTGATGAAGCTATTGAAAAATTGGCACTGGCATCAAATAACCCTCAAGCTTCTCTATATGGAGTAGTTAATCAAATACTTTATCCTTTGGTGCAAGGATGTGAGTCAAAGGATGTTAAAATAATAAAGGTAATTATGTAGTGATTTATTTAGATCTCTTATTTAAGTAATTATAATTTATAACCTTGTAGTCATTTATAATAATTCTGAACAAAAATAATATTATAATATCATGTAATTTTATATTATTTTTGTTGTTTATGAGTATATTGGTATAAATGTTCAAATTTTCTTATTAAATTAATGTAATTAAATATTGAAACCAAGATAATGTTAGATACCATTAGACTTAATATGCGATGTAGCTCTCTTTAAAGAGCATCAAAATAAGGCAACTTTAGGAGTAAATTGATAATTATAAGCATTGTAAAGATTCAAATATAGTATATAATAATATTTTTTATTACAGTTTTGTCTTGGCACAATCCAAAGATTAATAGCTCAACAAGGAATTGATGCTAAAGGTGCACGCCATGTTGTTGATTGCCTTTATAATCTTGGCCAAACAAATACTTTGGAGCTTAAGCTCTTGCAACTTGCTGCTTTGTTGATGACCACATCTGATTTAGTACATGGTGATACATTAGCTCGGGTAAGTGACTGTTGATTTTTATCAACTATAAGTGTTAATGTTTCTAATTTGAACATATATTTGATTAACTATCAAACCACTTAAAGATAAATTTTATTGACAAAGTAGATATTGTTAATAATTGGATGGGAGTTGGTTTTTAATTAGAATTTCAGAATAGCTTAACAGATTTTTATTTAACTCTTACAAGAAAATAGAGTAAATAGAACATAGAAGCCTATGTTTCATACTTTTTATAGAATAAAATATAAAGTATGGTGTCAAAGATTGACGAGAATGGCTCAATCAATTTAATGGGACTTCAATTAAGCTATAATCAAACATTGTATATTACAGACTATGGTAATGTGCATGCGTATGGTACCAGCAAGTGAGACACGCGATGTGAGCACCAGCCATGCGGCCGCTGCAACAGTGCGTCAGCTTGTGGCACTTGTGTTTGAAAAAGCTTTAGCAGAGGCTAATGGTATGAAAGTTACAAAAATTCAAATCTTTTTTTTTTGTTAATATTTACAATAACTTTTTTGCTAATTTTTATTATTTAGCTACTCTAATTGCTGTGGGTCATGTATGCCTATAAATCCGGATGGATGTCTTAGGTTCGAATGCCTGATTGGGCAACTTGAGTTATTAATTATTATATATTTTATTTTGTAAATCCTCAGTAGCAATCCAGACTTGAGAAGTTATTATTATATTGCCTTAAAAAATTTCTGCAAACTCTCAGTGAGATTGGCCTCATGGCTGCAATAAGTCAGGAGGACATCATTATTATATATATATCAACTTAAATTTAATCTGATATACACAGCAATACAGTAATTGATAATGTACTAATAACATTAGTGGTGGACTAAACAGCATGTGCAATTGGGCAACAGGTAAAACAAATTAACACACCTAAAGAAAAAATAATGTGGCATAAATATATGTACATATGTCTTCTCAGTTAATAATATTATCCCTATAGATTCGGTCACTACAGCCATTCTTACTGGCACTAGCCAACATGCACAAATCTATGCGCAGCATAGACACAAGTGTATTTTATTCTCGTTATACTCAAATTTTGATGGTAAGATAACTCAATATGACCAGTGAAAGATCAGGCATCACTTGGAAGACATAATATGTATCAAACAATAATTTTGGTTAATCTCCATAATACAATAAACATTTATATATTATATTATAAATTATATTTTTCATGCTATATTTTTAGGTACATTGAAAGTAAATCCAGCTGATGTAAGAATGCAAGCAAATAACAAGGCGCCAAAAGATCTTAAACCCTGTGCAGTTGATGCTTATCTTATATTGCAAGTAAGTAGATATGCAGAAATAACTTAATTTATAAAGCAGAAAAACAGTTTTTTTTATTATATTGTTTTAATAGTTAAACTATAAATGGCTCGTCTACCCTTTAAAGTAAACAGAGGATGTAAAAGCAATCCATCGCAAGAGTAATCAAATCTAAGATTCTATATAGTAAAGAACACCTGCTATGCATGTTGCATATGATAATTTTACCTATTACATAATGAGAAAGAATAAATAATAATAAAATAATAATAATATACGTAAATAACTAATTCATCCTAGGCAGAGATAGCCCAGGCGGGATCAAATGCTGTGTATCGCACCTCTGATATTTTCTTGTGTGAATTATTTTCAACATGATTACCACTTGTCTTACGGTGAAGGAAAACATCATGAAGAAACCTGCATTTCTGAGAGAACCTATAAAGTTTTCGCAAGACATAAGGTCAGTGTGGTGGACCAGTGGTCTGATCCACCTTGTATTGAATGGAGGCTCGTGCCCAGCAGTGGAACCTTAAAAAGGGCTGAATATATACAATACAAACTTAATTCTAATACCATGAAGCCGATCTAATAATGTAGGCTGGTAGTGAAATAATAACTATATATATCTATACATTTCAGGACATTATACAACTAATAAATGGTGACGCGGCGCACTGGCTCGTTGGCATTTCGGACGTGCCTAAGACGTTTGGACTTGAATTATTAGACACTGTGTTAACAGATTTCTCTGATGTGTTTTTTAAGGTATGTACTATTTAAATGGAAATTATTCAATACTTATATCTTTTTTATTGTTCGTTTAATAAGTGGTTTAATAATAAAAATTAAAAGTGCTTGCATTGATTTAACAAGAAAATTATTTGTAAAAATGTTTGTTTTATACATCACTGTTACTGCTTTTTAATATTATAATTTATGAATATATAATATAAAAGCATTTTATTGGATTGGTGATTTCTAGCTCATTCATATAACAATAGGGAATAGGCGAAAGAGAGAAATATTAGCTATTAAATGTCACAACTCACGGTACAATATTGTGTCAGTTCTGTGAATCTTAACAAGTTAAGCAAGGCACACAGTAATTGATATGTTAATAGGTACCATATTTGCATTACAAAAGAAATTAGCTTTAAAACTAAATGTTGCACGCAATTCATAGTAAATGAATCGTTAAAAATTAGCCTACACGTTAATTCAGATTAAACCAGAAATTCACTTAAAGCCTTAAATCGTTTACAGTATTAAGAAAGTTACTAACTCGCTTGCAAACTTTCGGGTTTATAATATTAGTGTTTATATCTTTTGTTACAGATCTCAGAATTCCGTTTCTTATTAAAGGAACATGTGTGTGCATTAATAATAAGGCTATTTTCACCTAATGTGAAATATAGGTAAGTTCTTAGTGATTATGAATGTATACTATGTGCAGTGTCTGGTGTTACATTCATTTAGGAGTCTTTTCCGAACACTCAGTTTTTTTTGGAGTGGACTCCATCTCGTTTCTTTTTAATTAATTTCATTTCACTAATATTGTTTGCTCTGAAGGTCTTATTGTCTAGAGTCGATGAGATTGGGCGCCGTGGTTGAAATCGGTTAGGAGATGGACGAAACGGTCAACAGTTTTTCAGTTTTATTATTATTTACCTCAAGAACGTTATAAAAGATCATAGTTATACTAAGATGTTTTTTTTTTTAATTTAGATGTTATACCTAATACTATTGTTAAGTAGCGCCCTCTCATTGTTTAAATAATCCATTTAACACTAGGGCCGCGTTCACGTCCCCGCACATCCCGGGCGGCGCTGCGGGCGCGGGCGCGGCGCCGGGGGCGGAGCGCCCGCACTTCCCCGTCACCATGCGCCTGCTGCGCCTCGTCTCTGTCATTGTGCACAAGTATCACGATCTGCTGGTTAGTGGCGGCTATGATGTTTATTCGAAATGACCATAATGTCATATTGAATTGAATATCATAAATTATTGGAAAGATTGACAATTTAGGTTACTATTTTGCCTAAAGATAGATGGCGTTGATAGATATAACGTCATCTATTAAAATTTATTTGAACTATTTATTTTAATTTCCTACTTTTTGAATGTAAAGTCATGTTATGTGTTGTCATATCGACGAGAAAAACCAAAATATAATAAGTTCGAATTAACTTTCTTTGCTCTAAAATAATTATAGAAAGATGAAAATATTTAAAACTTATACACATTACTGGACATTGATAGAATTTTCTTTCAGAAAAAAATAATGAAGCATTGTAAGAATGTTTAGTATGTATTGATATTTGTACAGGTAACGGAGTGCGAGATCTTCCTGTCGCTAACCATTAAGTTCCTGGACCCCGACAAGCCACTGTGGCAGCGTGCGCTCGCGCTCGAAGTGCTGCACCGCATCACCGTGCAGCCGGGTACTGTTATATCGACACCTGCATAGAACAACATTGTAACTTAGTATTATATTTATATTTTTATATATTGTAGCAATTTTAAATTTGAATTTAAATTATAAGGGGAATATTTTCTTAGATTTACGCGAATATTTGTTCGTTCATCGTTCATTCGAAACGTCGGGAACCAAAAATCAAAAGAAATCTTCGAAAAAATAGTTTTATTTAAAATATATGAGGAAATTAATTCTAATATTTGAAGTGCGAGAACTTCTTAGCGCGCATGAGAGTAAAATTTCAAGGTCGCGTCACGCGTCACACGAGCATTCCGGGATTGCTTCGAGTAATATACGATAGATGTACGAATCCAGCTAGATAAAAAGAGTTCAAATATTCTTCTTTCCTCTTTGTGCGACATTCTTAGTTCATGATGCGCGCGCATAATATTTTAGAAAGTGGGGATACACTTGCCATATCATCAGTTGTAAGTGTAGCGTCATTTAAATCGTATTTTAGTCTGAATTTAATATTGTTAAATTATATCAATACTGAGTTACAACGTTGTTCGTTGCAAGTGGCGATATTATTACTAATTTAAACTAGCGACTTATTAATAATACTGACTAGTTAGGCTCGGGTTCGTGTTATTTGAACGTGCAGGAAAAATTCCATCCCTGTGCCAATCAGAGATTGTAATATTTGTTTTTTAAAGTGATATTGAAATTGATTTACCTTTTTTAGTTAAACATTTTTTTTTGGATACATACGAGTACAAGCTATGTGTTTATCGTAGGATATAATTCTTTAAAATTTAAAGTAATATTTATATTTTTAATAATTATATAGTTTTCATTATATTCTAGTATTTAAATAGCATTATAACTGTAGTATTTGATCAATTTATTCTGTATACTTCAAGTGGATCTACCTAGAGAAGAATTATCTATTTTAATATATGATATTTTAAATGTAGATAAATGTCATAATTTGCCCCTTGTTCATACGTCTATACGGAGACAGCTTAGATAGATAATAATTCAAAACTACATTTTGTCAGAGTTACTGAAGGCATTCTGCGCGTGCTACGACATGAGGCCGCACGCGACCAACATCTTCCAGGACATAGTGAACGCGCTCGGCGCCTACGTGCAGAGCCTGTTCGTGGCCTCGCAGGTCAACACGCCCGCAGGTGAGGAGATTTGTGCTATTTATATCGCCAATACTGGTGGTTTGAGTAAGTTTTCCAGTCCCCTGCCCAATAATGGAAAGGTTTGTAAACCCTTTATGAGGAGTACCCGTAATGAGTTTCCTCCTGAGAATGAGTTGTTTGAGTGCTTTAGTGGAACAGTACCCTGTACAATGATGGAAAGCGATCCTTAGTAGATTTTATCAAAAAACAGGGTGATAGCGACAACCAAATTCAATAAGAGTGTTCTTATTAAAAAAAATATTACGGGTAATTAATAATTCATTAAGTATTAACGTATTTATATATATGCAAATAAAAAAACTGATTAACGTACATTACACATATGTATTTAAAAGCGATGTTTTTTTTTAATTTTTAAAATAAATACGCTCGTTTTATTAAACCATTAATATTTATTTTTAATGTTATTTAATAAAAATGTGTTTTAATCTTGTAAAAACTCATGATCAACCAAATCATTTTCATCGTGTTCGGTCTCGACGTAATCAATATCGGGAGGAAATTCATGGTACTTGAGGTCCGACTCGTCTTCTAAAGGGTTGGGCGCGGGACCGTCTACGTGCAGTCCGTTTGTATTATCTGCATAATCTCCTGACACTTCCAAATCAGTAGTATCTTCACTTTCTACATCTCGACGCCCAGAAGCTACTATGGAGTGTATTTATAAATATTATATAAAAATTATCGACATCTTTTAGAAAAGTCAATTACTAACAGAAGTCAATATTGTGTTCCAGGTCATAGTCTATCTGCGTACTAAATTTTACGTTACGATTGAAAGAGTTACCAAACATATACACGCATTTATAAAAGTAGTATTATGTAAAACTATTACAATGATAATATTAAATGATTTAATACGAAAAAATTTAGCATTTCAATTTAAGCCAATCATGGACTACTTAAGTAACACGTATCTTAACGTATTATTGCGTTCATTTATTAGAACATAAAAAAAACTAAATGTTTGTAAGTCAAAGATTAAAGCAATACCCCAGCTTCCAGATCTTAAATAATAGTCATTTAAATTGCGCGAGTCTTCAGCTAGAATGGCGGTATAAATATTGACCAGTGGCTTGCATCGTCTCATACATCTCTTGTGAGTTAGAAAACGGTTGTTACGCCGTTCCGGGGGACACCCCAAATGCTCCCTTGAAAAAAAAACAATGTCTAAAATTCCAAATATAAAGTCAAAAACCAGTAGTAAATTGCTCTTAAAATAAATACAGTAGAATTTTATATGAATATCTTTTCGGATTATTTCGAGCATTTAATTAGATTTTTGGTTCCCGACGTTTCGAACGCTTTACAGCAATCATGGTCACGGGAGAGACTCCCGAAACGTCGGGAACCAAAAATCAAAATAAACCCGCAAAATAATCCGAAAAGATAGTTTTATTTAAAATGTCAAATATTCACGTATATCTAAGAAAGTATTAAACATTATACAGTATTCATGTTTTATAAGAAATAGAGGTTTAAAAATACTCGGTTTAAAAGTACAATTTGTAAAACTGTGCTTTATTAAAATGCTCAAGAACAAGATTCTTAAATATCTGATAGTTAATTTTTACGTAAAATGACTTGTCTTACATATGTAGGTATATATAAATTAAATACTTAAATATTAACATTCAATGCCCGAGGGCACTATAGAGCATGTAATGTGCACTATAATGCAACGCAGCTTTGAATTGATTTCTAATGTTTTCCTAGGCGGTTTTTGGATTGAAAGAAGCTTTTTTTTTATTTTATTTTTTAACTTAAAAAAACGTTTACGTGCAGTTCTGAGTTTGAAAGACGAATGACCACACTGTTTCAACGGGCTCAAGACACATGCCTGGTGTGAAGCGTCGCGTGCATCGTACAAACAAATTATATTTTGATCTCGAATTATCTAAAAAGAAATATTATTATATTACCTAGTAATGGGGAAAATGTTAATAAGTTAAACTATATTCTATAAATCTTTGTTAATTTATTAAGACCATTTTATTGTATTTATGAAGGATAATAAGGATAGTTGATGAATTTCTACAAAAATTAATGAAATAATCTAGCAGAACATTTTGTTTAGAGGTTTCTAGACAACTATCGCTCGAATACAATAGAAACTAAAAAGTAAAATTAAGGCTATACAGTTATCTAGTCTACTTTAGGTTAGAATGAAAACGTACGAAAACGATGTGTGAAGTGAAAAACTAAAGTGAATTTCGAATATAAATAAAGTAAACTTTAGTACGAACAGATAGGCCTAGGTCTGATATGAGTGAATTATTACAGCGAAAGAAACAAAATCAATAGATACTGAGACAGATATTGAAAATATCTAAAACAATAATTTCTTATCTTATTACCTAAATTTGCTGACGATATTGAGCCAAAGAAAAGTATTAAGTGAGAGCACTGCCACGGTATATGATTTAAATGCATTTTGATGTTACAGTCATAGCCACATAGAATTTATACTTGTCGTATATTTATGCCATAGTAAAATTTGTATATAATGTGCTACAGGACCAGAATCTAAATTTTACAAATAAAATCATCACTATGAAACAATAATTAAAATTATGTTAAAATTAATATTATAAAATAATAATAATAAAATAACAATTTATTCATTTGACGTCAATATTCTACCATATTGGCCAAACAAAGGCATACTTCCCACATCTTTTGAAAACTTATTAGGCTCTTTCAGACATGCAGATTGCCATCACTGTTTTAGGCTATTGAAAGTAACCATTATTTTTCATATCAAAGGTTCATCGAGCATCCCTCAACAAGCCGGTTTCTATTGGAAAGGTGTGTGGCTACCGTTGTGTGTCACATTCGAGCCTGGTACGGCTAAAGCAGTATAGTAAGTGAGATTTAACTAAATATATTCTTTTATATTTTATAGCATAACTAGCGACTCACCCTCGCTCCGCTCGGGTTCGTCCCTATGTACTTTTCGCCGTTTAGTATAGATTTTTTAGAGATCAGATATTATCCCGCAGTAAAAAGTATCCTAAATGTTGCCCTGATAATCAGCTATCACCATACCAAACTTAATCAAAATCCCTCCAATGGTTTTTCCGTGATACGGTCACAGACAGACAGACAAAATTCTAAAAACTATAGATTCGGTCTCTGTATCGATAATAATGCGTATTTCAATAAGAATGTCGAAAAAATGTTTAATGTACAGATCGGCTGAGTTACAAATTTTATTATATGTATAGATATTTTTTTATCAAAATCATCGTAACAAGGTTCACATATACTCGTAGTGAAATTAGTACATGTTTATGTCTTTTAATCAATATAAAAAAAAGAAAAAATATTTATTCTCTTTAATATCAATATTTGTCAATTTAACGTTACAACGTAACGTACATTTTAAGTACATACATATACTCCAATTATATTTAAAATTAACATTTTTTTTTTAATTCAGTATAGAGATGCTGGACCGCACCGAGGCGCCAACGATACAGGAAGGCTACGGTATATCCGTTGCTTACGCTTGTCTCGTTGAAATCATTCGTTCGATTGCCATCACTTTAGAAGGCGATGAGTATTTCAGGTATAATATTTGGTTCATTCATTTTTAACTAATAAAATCAATTTAAAAGTTATTATTCTCATAGGCCTATTTATTAAAACAAGATTCATTCATTAAAAGTCGACATACATACATACATACATACATACATACATCGATATACGAATCGATGGTTTCTATATACATTACACATAGACCATAGTAAAAAAAAACAAACATCAAAGTATTACGTCTTTTTTAAAACTCGGTCAAAGTATGGTCAATTTTCACTTACGAACTTACGACTTTTAAGTTATTTACGAAGATCATAGAGGAATTGTTCAATGACTCACTTTCAGGTTACAAGAACTGTACGATGATTCTCAAAACGACGCTGAAGAGAAAGAAGTAAATTCGAACAAGGCTATAAATAATCATAAAGGTTAGTAACAAACATATTCAAGAAGTTTATATGTAATGAATTTTTGGTAACTAGCGGCTGGCGAGTGAAACGTTACAATAGCAAAATTGTTTTTTTTTTGGTATGCGCTTTCAACTACTCTGACCAAAAAGTCGAATGTTTTCTTATATTTATTTCATATATAAAGTAATTCAACAAAAGTATTTTTTTTCCTAAAACTAATTTTTGGGTATTAACAAATAACAATCAATATAATGATAATCAAAAATAGTTCAACAAGTTACGAGTTTTTTGTAAAATTTAATGTTTAAATTTTTTCAGTAAAAAAGTATAGATTTTTTTTATGTCGGCATGGAATGAATTTCCTTTTTGGGCTCACGATATGTACTGCATGGAATAGTATAAAATACACGTGTCTATAAATTTTATATATTATTATTATCCATATATTATATGATTGCTAGAATCGAAATATATTTATGGTATTTTCTACAGACTCAGAAACAAAGCTGGACAACACCAAAGAAATAACAAACAACGGTCACACCGCTGAAGCCGACCAAAACTCTAATGTACTTGAAAAGATAGATCCTGAGGCGGAAGACAAGGAGAGGCAATTAAAATTACAGGTATGTATTTATTTACATTTATTATATAGAATTATAATTATATAAATAATTATTACTTATGTCCTTAGTTTTAATTAGATTTAATAAGATATTTCTGTTTTAATACAGAACTTTATGTCCTCTAGATGGCGCCATATTTGTGCCGTTATGTAGCCTTATAACCCGACCTATTTCTGACGTTTCGAATACTTTACAACAATAATTATGGTCTCCAGAGAGATTAAGATTTTGGACGTGTTAAATTATGTAGTTGTTACAGACAGTACATGCCCACAGAATTGAAATAAAGGTCGCATTTTTTTTTAAATTTAATATACTTATTTGAATATTTTCTAGCTGATAAAGTCGTCGTGGTGCGGACTCGTGTGGGGTCTGTCGGTGTTGGCCGAAGCGAGCATCGGCGAGCTGGAGAATATTCTCCGCGCGATACAGACTCTAGCCAGAGTTAGTGGAAAGGTGGGTGTTTAATATTTAGGTACAGTAGTTTAATAATTATAGTGTTTGTTTGTTTTTAAATTTAAATTATAGCGTCTTCATTTATTATATTAGCCATATGATTATTGTTTATCAATAAATATATTCCTATTATTAATTTAATTTACTTTCTCGTATATTTAAAGTTCAAGTTGGAAATTGAAACAATGCTAAGTTAAGGAAGATTTGGGTTTGAGTCCCGAGCCATGTAAAGTTTAGTTATTATGTAATTTTGTCAAGAATTTTTTATTGTTAACGGCCTGGAGTTGGGGTGTTGTCGCTGTTTCACCCCTGTGTTCAAAGAGTTAGTAGAGCTAGTGTCGAAATACAATGAGTACTAAATTGTATTTGTACACTGTGTCTTTCCTGCGCACGCGGCTAGTGTCAGTGAGATTGGCCGGCGTGGCCGGATGTGTGAGAGTCATGTGTGTGGCGGCAGGTGGGCGTGACGAACGCGCGCGACGCGTGCATCGGCGCGCTGTGCCGCTGCGCGCTGCCGGCGCAGTACTGCGTGCCGGTGCTGGGCGCGCTGGCGGCGCTGGCGTGCCCGTGGCCGGCGGCGCGCGCGCCCGCGCCGCAGGCCGACTTGCGCCACCACGTCGTCTGGGTTGGCACGCCGCTGCCCTGCGCACAGCCCACAGGTAAAACTACCTACTTTTTGTTTGTTCGTTGACAATATTGGACTCGATTAATATACACGAGTAGTGACTTTAAACTTTAATAACAAATATATACAATATATATCTTATATTAGATACGATGATAAGCTTAACGTACGATAAACTTATCCTCGCCTCGCTCGGTTGCGTCCCTAGATGCCTAGGAATAGCCTATGTGTTACTTCAGGTCATAGTCTATCTCTGTCATATTTGTCATCCAAATTCGTCCAGCAGTTTCAGCGTCAATCAATAACAAACATACACATAAACAAACTGTCGCAATAATAATATGAGTCTAATATTTTTTTTATTATTTATAGTTATTTTACATTTTCAACCGACTTCAAAAAGGAGGAGGTTCTCAATTCGACTGTATGTTTTTTTTATGTTTGTTACCTCAGAACTCCGTCATTTATTAACCGATTTGAACAATTTTTGTGTTGTTTGAAAGTGTATACTTCCAGATTGGTCCCATTTAAATTTCAAAAAAAAATACCACGCCTAAGGGTGGTATTTGTTGGCTAAGTAATTAAAGCCTACCTATTTAATACATACCTAATCAAATATTTTCGAAATCGGTGCCAGGCCATATAAAGCAAAGCACACCGACTTCGAATATATTTGATTAGGTATGTATAGTAAATGAAAACTACCAATCAGTTATTTTTTAATTTTTAGTGCTTTTTTTTGAAGTCGGTTTTTAGTTTTTTGTTAAAAAGTTTTTATAAATGTTTTAATTATTACTATTTTTCACTTGTAATTTACTCAATCACACATAATAATCAAATTCAACTGCTACATTTATAAGTATAAACAAGCCATCTTTATACTTGTAATATAGTATTTTTCTTCTGACTGCAAATCTGAAGATTCCAGGTTCGAACCATGCCTAGTAGTGGGACGTTAACAATAACTGAATACAATATTTGTCATATCCAGGCCAGCAACAGTCTTTCGTGATGGTGACCTCCCGCCACGTGACGGCGATGCGCGCGCTGCTGGCGGCGGCGCGGCGCGACGGCGACGCGCTGCAGCACGCCTGGTTGCCCGTGCTCACCACACTACAGCATTTGGTATACAGCTATATATACACACAGACACACACACATACATGTTTATATACACACACATGCACAGAAATGTATTCGTACTTAAACAAATTTCCAAAAATCGTATGTCTCTTTCGCTTTACTTTCTCGTATCAGATACTTGTATTGCAAATGTAAGGGCATTATGCGGCAAATCTCTGCGCAGTACAAAAGTAATGCGAATAATAGTTTGTTGATGATTGACATCTAACATCAAAGTGCTGCAATTGTAATACTAATTCCCTCCACGTGAATAAATAGGTATAAAACGTCTTTTAATTAAAAATTCAAGAGTATGTACTGTACCCAGGTATGGATCCTTGGATTGAAACCGTCCACGGGCGGCAGTATGAAGGCGAGCCGTGCAAGTGCAGACGCCAACGCAGTCATGAGCACTTCTGCAGTGATGGCTGACTTACCTGGTAAGGGAAATTATACCCTATAAATATAAACACAAAGTTGTTTTAATTCGGTATGTAAATCTTGAAGTATTTCATTATGACAATAATATTAGCATATTTATATTATAATTATTGAAGCAGTTTTCGAAATGGTTGATTCAAAACTTTTAGTACAATAAAGAATGACTTGGATTGAAGTTAAATATTTTTATAGTGAATTCATTGTGCTTCATACATCCATTCATTCACTCATTTTTATACGAGTTGCTCAGTACGTCCACATAATTTATTATGATGTCAGATATTTTAGGCCTAATCGTATTATTTTCCCGTACACCGACGTTTGAAAGTGTTGTAATGGAATTATTTTCAGGTCAGCAAGTTCCCGTGGCCGAGTCGCTCGGAGTCATGAGTGGTATATCACGTTTTATAACATACGGTCTATTTGGAATGATTTGTCATTGTTTTAAGGATTGCTCTTTGAATATTTTATTGCTTAGGTGATTTTCAGTTAATTTATTTCTAAATTTGTTTTTCTAATGTTAACGTATAATAAAAAAAATACAAAAGTGCGTGTTTTACATGGCTTATATAGGCCATTAAATATGGTAAATTTTCCAAATTATATTCAAATGTGTGACACTTAATTTCAATGATGCAAATTAATGAATTGTTATGAAATTCCAAATAGACCTACAAGGGATTGGGAAGTTGTAAAGTCGACACAATAGCAATGTATTAAAGTCGCTTTTACAATGATGTCTTGCTAAAAGTCGCTTTTGTCCGTCTTCGCGCTCTGGGATGGAGCTTGCTGGCCATGTTTTGTTACTTACGATGCACTATTATTTTATATTGCGATGCACTTGTCTAATGGCGATATATTGTATAAATGAAATTTTATTTAAAACATATTTTATATATAATTTGGAATTACAGATAATCTTGGAATTTTCAACTTAATATGTACACTTGATACCAACATTACTCTTAAACAAATTGACAAATGCATGAAGTAGAAATTCAATTTTGTATATGAATGTCAAATACAAGTATGTGATATCTTAGTTCATATCGTGGTATTATATTTTTTGTAAGTTGTAAATTGTACAGTTTTAAAATTAAATATGTATAGTGAACTGAATTATAACTATGTTGCAAACATACCAAAATGAAATTGTTTCTTGCATACTTATATGATGTATTAAACTTATCTCCAATACCCCAAACACACTATTAATTGCAAACAGCACACGAAATATAAATTTTGGTCATGCTCTAATATTTTCTGACTTTGCTTCTAGAATGAGCATGGAATTATTAAAAAAAAATAGGAATGAAAATATTAACCAAATTGTTGACATTTTTCAGCATTGTCTGCTATGCTGTCGCGAGTTTTTGAGGCGTCAAAGAATTTAGATGATGTTGCTTTACATCATCTCATTGATGCATTGTGCAAATTGTCCAATGAGGCTATGGAATTGGCGTATTCAAATAGAGTGAGTTTTACGTGCATGTATTACTTTGTTTTTATTTGTTTTTTTTTGTTAGCCTATGAATCTTGTTCGTAAGTTTTTAAAATATTTATATTTTGTTTTTACAGGAACCATCTTTGTTTGCGGTGGCTAAGCTCCTTGAAACGGGTCTAGCGAATATGCACAGGATAGAAATAATGTGGAGACCAATCACTAATCATTTACTTGAGGTACATGTTATATTACTTTGAATTAAAAATAATCTTTTTAATACGAATAAATAAAAATTATTTATTTTTTATTTAGGTGTGCCAACATCCTCATATAAGAATGCGAGAATGGGGTGTGGAAGCCATCACGTATCTGGTGCAGGCTGCCTTCCAATATCACCATAACAACCCAGGACAAGTTACTGAGGTATAAAATTTTATTAATTTATTATTATGTATATTTTAGTCTTCTTAGTATATAGTATTTTCATTATTGCATTGTGCGGGAGACACTTGTCAATACTATGTAAATTGGGAAGTCACAATATTGCCTTATACTGCCTTTAAAGTAAAATCTCAAAGAATATTTATATTGTTTAAAATGTTTTTAATATCAAACTATTAATTTACTATTAATAAAAAAAAACATTAAACTTATTTCTCTCTCGAGATCCATTGTGTGACGCAAAAGACAGGTAAGATAAAGTTATAAAAATATCCCAATTAAAGAACGAGTACCTAATTAAAATGTTAACATACTGGTGTATGCAACAACGTGAGCGGATGGTAAAAAGTAATTAAAGTGCTAACACATAGGTGTGTTCCAACACGCAGGCGCCTGTAGTAGTTAAAGCGCTAAAACACGTGTGTTTGGGGTGAGACAGGCGCGCGAGCGGCTGGTGCTGGAGCCGCTGGCGGAGCTGTGCGCGGTGCGGCACTGCGACGTGCGCGCGCGCCAGCTCGAGTGCGCCGCGCGCCTGCTGCACTCGCGCGGCGACCAGCTCGGCGCCGCTTGGCCGCTCATGATGGAGATCATATCCGCTATCTCCGATCATCACAGGTGAGCTTTAATTTATGATTTACATCTGTAATACTTTCTTAGGTTTACGCACATATTTGACATTTTAAATGAACCTATTCTGTGTGATATTGTCGTGGTTTTGTTACTTCATAAGTTGTATTGTATTGTGTTTTTATTCTTAATTAGACGTTCCCTTACCTTAAACCTTAGTCCTGGAGAAAGACATTTACTTTTTGTCGCAAAGATGAATCTTGAAAGCGGTGAAATAGGAATTGAAAGTTTGTATTGAGAACAAATCATTTCTCAAGTTAAGAACATAAAAAATCGCTATCTATACTAATATAAAAAATGCGAAAGTTTGTGAGGATGTATGTATGTATGTATGGAAGTTTGTTCATGCAAAAACTACTGAATGGATTTCAAGAAAACTTATAGGTCATACATCAAAATAACACAGACTACTTTTTATGCCGGAAAAATGTATAATTCTCGTTGGATATATTTCTTTTTGTATTTCGCTAGTATTCTATAATTTGATAAGAAATAAAGAATGTTTCGGCGTTTTTGACTAATCAAGGCAAAATATGGGTTTATTTTCATTTTTTTAAGTGCTTACCTATTTTTCTATATCTATATACTATGTACATACTGCATACTTGTATGTATATAGTACGTCACTAGCAATAAATAAAAAACTAAAGCGACACAATATGTCGTGACATGTCGTAGCGAGCAGCTGGTGCGGTCGGCGTTCCAGTGCGCGCAGCTGGTGGCGGGCGACCTGCTGGGCTGCGCCGGGCCGCGCTGCCTGCGCCGCGTGCTGGCCGCCGCCGCCGCCTTTGCGCGCCAGACCAAGGAGCTCAACATCAGCCTCACCGCCGTCGGACTCATGGTTAGACGTTACACATCTGTGTGTTGTGACAATCTTATCATTGTTTGTTATAGATGACTAAATTATTTATAGAGTTTTTTTTTCATATGTAACTTCAATTGATTTATAATTTACATTCTTATTATTATTGATTTATTATTTTAATGAACTACCCATATAAATATTAATAATAGCACAGATTTAGTTTTTTTAGTTTGTTTCTTTCTTTAACAGTAAATTAATTTGTAATATCTTAAGTATATATGTATAATATAAAAAATATTGCATATAATCTGTATAATAAATTTATATAAACTACTTTGGCATTGATGTTATGATATAATTGTATAAATTATTTTGTTTCTTTTTAATTGTATAAATACTTTTTTAGGCCTTTTGCGCATGCCCGCGCTAATAATATATTTGGTGTGGGAACTCAATACTTTTGATCGTTGAATTCTTTAAATTTCTTGTACAAATGATAGATAACATTGTACAAGCCTTTACTGTAAAATTACTATGTTATTTTTTTTTATTTATGAATAAAGGTTTATTATTATTATTATAAAATTGTAACATGTATTATTACAACAAAACTATACCGTACCAGTGGAACATCTCGGACTACCTGTACCACAACCGCGACAAGCTGTCGGCGGCGCTGGCCAGCGAGGCGGCGGCGCCCGACGCGCAGCCCGACCTGCCGCCGCTCGACCGCCTCTGGATGTGTCTCTACATACGCCTCAGTGAGTACCGCTAGGTGGACATGTGTAAATTGTTGGATATATAGACCATAACATATAAAAATGTAGATTTATTTGTAAGTATAACGATCACTCGTAAGTCATATGTATCTAAAAATGATTGATGATTCAAAAAACTAATAGATACCGCAGTTATACAATTTGTATGTGCTGCTTGTTATTGCAGGTTAAATAATTAAAAATATAAATGATTACCCTCGCTTCGCGTGGGTGCGTCCATACGTAGGTTTTGAATATATAAAAATAATTATTGCGAGTGAATCTTAGATATATGTTATTGCGGATTTTTCTTAAGACATATTTAGGACCTACAGTTTTCTCGTACATTATTTTGATATATATCTTAATATAGGTTTAGCCAGCGTTATCCATGTAAATTTCTAAGACTCGACAGAAAGACATTTTTCTGTGGCAAAAGGTATCCTAAATGTAATTTAATCTACTAAGTCACCTGAGTAATGAGTCGTCACTACACAAATGTGTGTGTGCAGGCGAGCTGTGCACGGAGGCGCGCGCGCCGGTGCGCCGCGCCGCCAGCCAGACGCTGTTCAGCTGCATCGGCGCGCACGGCACGCTGCTCAGTCGCGCCGCCTGGCGCGCGCTGCTCGCCGTACTCTTCCCCATGCTCGACCAGGTCGGCCCTTTGTCTTATACATACGTCTAAATGTCTATTTTACCCGGCCGCTATTTAAAAATTTGACAGGTTTTATTGCATAGAGTTGTTTAGTTAAAAATTTTATTTAAGGTTATTGATGGGATAATACCTCCTGACCGATTTCGGCCACGGCGGTCAGACTAGCCAACTGCAGGAGATATTATAGTGCACATGTGTTTGTGCAGACACAAGTGCACTTTCTATTCCTTTTACTCTCAAAGTCCGATGGAACGATATTTCGACACGACCGGTGAGAGTTTAGGCGCAGGACCGACGGCTTAACGTGCTCTACGAGACACGGGGCTGACACACCGCCAACTTCTCAACTCCGGACTACTACTGAGAATATCTTAATAGAAATACTCAGTTATTAAAGTTGGCCCAACTCAAGACTCGAACCCAGGACCTCCGGATCTGTAGGCGTACATGCTAGCCACTAGACCACCGAGACAGTTAAAGTCAATGGGATATTATTATAATAAAAACAATATGAAAGTTTAACAAGTAATTTGATTTAATAAACTCTAAAATTTACTTACACACATAACACAACACATACAACTTATACAAATCTTAAAATTAGGTACAGGCGTGTAAAATTGACATATATAAATATATCAATATATTCCTTACATACAGCCAATAACTAGCCATCCATGTAATACTTGAGTTTGGGCTTTGTCTGTATTATTTATTTATAGTAGCGACTAACCCTCGCTTCGCTCGAGTTCGTCCCTAGGTACGTTTTAACGGTTAGTATGAAATACAAATCTTTGAATTTCTCGGCTTTTCTGTACATGTATTATACATATAAACCTTCCTCTTGAATCACTCTATCTATTAAAAAAGCCGCATCAATATCCGTTGCGTAGTTTTAAAGATCTAAGCATATATAGGAACGGACAGACAGCGGGAAGCGACTTTGTTTTATACTATGTAGTGATATCACCTCTTTTGAATTTACAAGATACTTAAAATATTTGGAAAATATAGAAAATCGTTTTCGAAATATTTCAAAATATTAATTAGTTTTATTATGTTTGATTTCTTGTACTTTATACATATTCTACATGAGAAAGATAAATTTATGTAGATATAGAAATATAACTTCTTCTTCTCCCTGCCCATTTCCCAAATCACTTGGGGTCGGCGCAGTACATCTTCAGTGTACTGCTGATAGGATTTGGCAAAAGTTTTATGACCGGCCGCCTGCCTGACGTCAACCCTCCTTGGGAATGCTATTGTCTTTCTTTGTCTGAATGGTGTTAAATATTATGCACTTTCGATTTTGTTGTGTTTTAAAACATTTTTTATACTATTAATTCAATTATTAATGTTATTTTTGGGTATATTTTAAAATAAATTTCGATTACACAATAAATTTTGTATTGACGTTGTCAATTTTTTTTTTTTTATAGAAATATAACATCACCGATATTTTCTCTGTAGGTCCAAAAACAATCAAATATTGCAAGCTCAGAAAAAGTGGATACTGGGGAGCATATACTCATACATCACACGAGGAACACCGCGCAGAAACAGTGGGCTGAGACGCAGGTATATATTTTATCTTACTTGTATTTTTAGACTAAACATTTAACTAAATTATTTAAGAATTTACAAGTTAGGATTTTAAAGTAAAACACTTGTAATTAGTAGAATGCGTAGAATGATTTATTGCAAAAATGGACTCATTTTACAAAAAATGAACAAAAACTTTTGACTCAATGGAAAAAAATCTATTAATTGTTGTATGAATAAAGTTTTAAGTTGAATTTAAAAAAAAATGATTGTTATGATTATATGCACCATATTAAAAAAAAGTAGATTCTACTGCTAGCTATGACAAAATATACCTATATTAAAAATTTAATATACATTTTCAGTTTGTATCAAAATGATATAGTATTTTTCTGAGCGTTTATCATTATTCTTTGTAGATTCCACAAATATTTCATGAATCCACTCTATATTATGAAAATATATGCTAGTGATTTATATCCACTCAGGTGTTGACTCTGTCAGGCGTGTCCCGAGTGTTCCATTCACGCTTCACGCTGTTGACTACAGTGGGAGACTTCAATAGATCCTGGACAGCTCTTCTAGATTATATCACAGATTTTGCCCTTCGGAGAAGTCATGAGGTAATGTTTAGATTATTGTTTCAAAGCAAATCAATATTGTTTTGTTACATTGCTAATTGTTTTAGTAAACTATGTTAATTGTCTTTGCCTTACAAACAATTTAATAAATAATATGTTTCATCTAAATCGCTAAGCGTATTTTATACACCATTAAAAATGTGAAAATTTGTATGTGTGTGTATGTTTGTTGCTTCTTAACGCTGAAACTGTTAGACGGGTTTGTATGAAATTTAGTACACCGATAAATTATGACCTGGAGTAATATATAGGCTCATGTGAGTCATATAGAGACAAGTAAGTCGCTAGTATAGAATACTATCACCCTATATTTGTATAAATTTAATAAAAATTCAACAGACTGTAGGTTTGTTCTTAAAATAATCCTCTTATAATGTGTCAGGTGTCAGTGGCGGCGCTAAAGTCGTTCCAAGAGGTGGTGTCTGCGGCGGGGCGCGCGGAGGGCGAGCACCGCCGCGTGTGGCCCGCCGCCTGGGCCGCCTGGACCACCATCGCCGAGGGGCTGGGCAAGCCGCCGCCTGGTAACCAAGCTATATATTACTAGTCAGCCCACTGTTGGGATCAGCTCATAAACCACCACGCTGACCAAGTGTTAGTTGTCAGACTTCACATGTCTTTCGAAAACTTGCGAAGTCCTCTCAGACATGCAGGTATCCTCACGATGTTTTCCTTCACCATGAAACGAGTAGTTATCATGTTGAAAATTATTCGCACATTAAAATACAATATTTATGTAAGTAACATGGTACAACTATTGAGCGTGAATTGCAAAGTAATTAATGTGCGATGTTTTACACCGTACAGTTGTCTAACAGAGGCGTCTATACAGAGCAATCGGATACAGAGCAATCGGAGGAAGTGGGGGAAGACGCGGGAGGCGCTTCCAATTGTTATACTTTTATATGATAGTTAACAGACAGGAAATTATTTTAGGGTTGACGGGGAACTATTTGACGGATTTAACATGTCTGAGAGACAAGCGCAGGAGCGACGCGAAATAAGCTCTACGTCAGCACGGGATTATAACATGGTCAACATGCCAATTCTGAGCCGAGAATGAGAATGTATTGATAGCTAAAAATTACACGTGGTCTAGAGCGGATCTTGAACCCAAGACCTCAGGATCAGTAGCCGTCCATATCGGTCGCTAGATCAACTAGACAGACAGTCAATTTGAATTTTAAACATTGACAAATTTCAGGTTGCATTTATAGTAACTTATAATGATTTTTTAAAAATATAACACATTTTTATTTAATTATAATCAATATAATTATATATATTTGTGATTTCAGTGTCAGAAGACGGAAAGCCAGTAGAAGTATACGCGCCTTCGCTAAACTTTCTTACAACACTTGTGCAGATCTTTCCACTTATCTTCCAGCATATACGATCGACGTATGTTAATCTTTTTTATTGACTACTATACTAGCGACTCACCCTCGCTTCGCTTGGGTTCGTTCCTAGGTACATTTTTTGAGCGGAATCCTAATTCTTTTACTGAAATTAAAGTAGCCTAAGTTACTCCTTATAACATTAACTACCTGCCAGTAAAATTCTCATTAAAATCGGCCCAGCCGTTTCGGAGATTAGCCGGATCAAACAAGAACAAACAGACAGATAAAAATTTTAAAAATTGAGTTTTTCTTATATTTACCTTATATAATACCATATGCATTTAGTAAAAAGCTGTTATTTTGAGATTATAAACAGACACTCCAAGTTTATTTATCTGTACTACTACACAATATAGGTACTATATTATAATATTATTTTTCTGACATATTAAATTTAAAGGTTTGTGTAATTCCTGAGAAGATGCTGTGTATTGATATTTTGATAAAATACGTACATATTTATAATATCTTACATATTATATTGTGTATAAAAAATATGGTATACATTTAATTAACCAGCGGCGCACGCTCTCTTCGCTCGGATATGTCTATCAGTTTAGCGTCCTATCAGTAGTCTGTGTTATCGCAGGTCATAAACTGTGTATTAAATTTCATTCAAATCCGTCCAGCCGTTTCAGCGTGAATTAGTAACAAATATAAATACGCATACACACACACATACTCACATGCATACACACCTATACACTTTTGTGCGTATGATAGTTGTCCGACTATCCCTAACGGTCGCATGGGCGGTGCAGGTTCTCTGCGGCCGACGTGGAGAAGCTGGGCGAGTGCCTGAGCGTGGTGTGCGGCGTGGAGCCGTCGGCGGCCGCGCTGGACGCGCTGGGCGGCGCGCCCGTCAGCCTGCACGCGCTGCACTGCCTCGACACCGTGCACAAGGTACGGGGCATGGACAGTGGGAATTGTCTTGTTACTTGAATTTAGGGATTTTAGTCTCGTTTTTAAAATTATTATTATGATTTAGTATGAAGAGGAAAGCTATGAGATAAGACTTATACATTTTAAAGATCCAGTCGCGCAAATATTTTAAGGATATCATACCTCATGAAATAAATGTTCCCAATTTATGAAATTTATTTATTTATTTTACGTAAAGAAAAAGTATACACCATCACCTTTAATCACTCTGTTTGACATTAATATGACCGTCAAGTCCCCCGAAATACTCTCATCTTCAAATTTTAGTATTATTTAATGTAAGGTAATACTTTCTTAGATTCACGCAAATATATGACATTTTAAATAGAACTATTTTCGCAGATTTAATTTGAATGTACCCAATGTTTCGAATACTGTACAGCAATCATTTTTACGGGAGAGTCCCGAAGAAAACCGAGAAGATAGTTTTATTTATAACGTTATGTATCCCCCTTTGGTCGTGCAGGAAGCGCTTTTGCGGCACGAACTGCTAGGCGCGCTGTTCGCGGCGCTGACGCGGCTGGCGCGCGCGGCGGGCGGCGCGCGCTGCCTGGCCGCCGCCGCCGCGCTCTACCGCGCCGCGCCCACGCCCAGCCAGCCGCATCTGCCTGGCCTGCTGCAGGTACTGGATACTTGGTTCTTTTCAACACCTTTATATATACAGGTGGCTATGTGGAGAATCATCGGCTAAAAAGCCAGTACTACACACTAAGACGCAATAGAACTTTCCTCAACTTTGCGTCGCAAGATCACTTACGAACTCGACCACGATGCTCAGATGGCTGGCATGTCGAGGCAGACCACAATAACTATGGAGTTGCCCCCACGATCCACTCTGCTTTCAGAGAGGCTTGCTCTTGCTTTCTTTTCAATAATCCATTCACAATTGACAACACAACGAAAATAAACACAGCCTCCTTTTTTGAAATTGATCAATAAATATGAAGTGCAAATGAATACGTATTATAAATAGATAGTACTTACAATGAAGTTTTCAACACGTACTGTGTATCTAGGCTTTGCATTCAGCGGTAAAGAAGTGCTCCCCGGACAAGAGGCGGCGCAACAGCGACAGGGAGCGGGACACCCCCGACGAGCCCACGCAAATTGCGTCCTTGCTGTTGCAGGTAATACACAAATTGTTCCTTACACTTAGTTCGAATAAGTGTTAAAATATATCCTAGCATGCATTATACTATAAAAAAAAACTTTTGGAAAAGAAAACGAAATAATGATTTAGCATTATTTTGCATATCATGTAATGATTGAAAAATCAACCATCCGCGTTATTTACAGATAAAAATAAAATAAAAATACTTTATTTATAAACATAAATGTGTAAAAGTTACAAACAGGATTTAAATCGTAAAAACCGCATATAAACTCCTGTAGCAGACAAGACACGCAAAAACACATGAACCATATTTTTAACAGACCGTACCGATGGTGGTATAATTGTAAAAGAAGTGGTTGCTCATTGAAACAGCTCGTTTTCAGACCAATATACAATTAGAAGAAGTCTCATTTAAAGTTAAATTTTGTTTTTTTTGCACTGTAGGTGTTAGCAACAGGTCTTCCGCTGGCAAGAGAAAATCCCGAAGAATATAGTGAATTCTGGGAGATACTGCCCGACGTGGTGGAGACGTTTATGTTTGAACCTCCGTAAGTTATTTGTTGTATGATTTGTTTATGATTGTATAAAATGAAACACTTTTATTTTAAAATTGTTCTGGCGTTTTAATTTATGCATATTGCATAGATTTAGATTTTTTTTATTAAACATAAATTTACTTTTAATAAATTAAAGACATTTTGACAAGTCATGATTGTTTGACGTCGAGTTTGGCTCAGTTTGTAGTGATTCTACTTGCTCAACATATTTATTTTATTTATTATGATGATTGCTATGTGTGCAGCGTGGGCGGCACGGCGCAGGCGCGCGAGGTGGTGCGCGTGCTGCGCGACGAGGTGCTGCGCGCCGGCCCGCCCGCCGCCGCGCGCCGCCTGCTGGCGCACGTGCGCGCCGGCGCGCTGCACCACGCGCCGCACGCGCACCACGCGCAGCGGCAAGCGCGTCAGTAAACACACTTTTTTTACGTTGGGAAATACGCACACACATACATACACAATACATACATACATGCAGGTAGTTATGTAGAGTACCACTAAAACCCAACGGAACGTTATTCATCTTAACGAGACGCCATATAATCACTTAGGCGCCTCACCCGACAAACTTAGGGCTTCGTATCTATACTTCTGGCCGACCTGCCAAGGCAGACCGCAAGTAACTATGACTTGTACCCACAGTACACTGTTACTAAAGAGGTACCAAGAGCGATCCACATGGTATACCGTCCACCGAAGTAGGCCGCCGTACATGCACTGAACTGTTTTAGAAGCAACCCTACACTACCTTACAACCAGTGAACATGATACTATCATTTATCTACAATTGGTTAGGCCATTGCTATCTTATAATCAATACTACACTGTCTTATACCGATGAGCCGGGTCTGTTCGTACAATTAAACCTACACTATATTACAAACACTATGCCCGATAGCACCTCCCAACGACAATATACACGAGCTTTAATATCAATTTACGTATTTCTAACTTCGAAATTTACGTTATATAAAGCTTGTGCAAAATTAGCTTTCACGTGTGTTGTTTATCAGAGAATCAGTAAATAGGGAATATTCGTTTTTTTTGGAGCTGAATATTTTTCTTTACAGCTCTATAACGATGTTAGTTATTGTGTTATAAATTTAAAAAAATCACGCGTATTCCCTATTAAAGGTTTTTTAAAGCTAATTTATTTAAAACCTAAAGCTAATTTATAATAATTATTAAAACTAATTATAATTAGGCCTTTGTTATAAAAAGCTCTAAAAAGCAACCAAACATAAAAAAATGTACAATACACGATTTTTATTAAAATCGCCTTATTTCGACACTAAACACTGTAAAATGTGCAACCTTGATTTAATTTTGGCACAAATTAAGATCTGGAAACGTCAAAATAATAAAAAAATAAGAATTGGTAACATTATAGATCTTACTGAAATCATAGAATTTTAATAAAAAGAAATATCTTCACAGAAAACGAACAAGAGCTAAAAGAGAGGGAAGAATTCGCGCGAACGTGCTTCGAGACTCTACTTCAATTCTCTATGCTAGAGGACATGGACTCTTTGACTGATGCTGACAGTAAGTTTACATATCTTTTTAATCATCCCATTATTACAAATGTGAAAGTTTGGATGGATGTTTGTTACTCAATCACGCCAGAACGGCGGGATGGATCTGGATGAAATTTGCTCAGAGATAGTATAGAGAGATATAGTCTGGAATAGCACGTAGATACTTTTATGTCACGTAAAAATGTAAAAATGGACGGTTTCCCGTAGGATAGATTTATTATTGTTTTTCTCAGAGCAAGGGATCGATTATCTATTCCATACTAATCCTTAAAACATAATGCGCGACGAACCCGGTTGAAGCGAGGGTGAGTCGCTACTCGCTAGTATTACATATCTATACATTTAAATTATGAGATACTAGTTTTTTACCGCAGGCCGATCGTGTATTATGCGTGTCAATAAAGACAACCAATGTATTGATTAATCTGATGCTAATCGTATTTTGCATCCTGAATATCGCTCCAGTACGTAACGCTGTCACAGAGATCCCTTAAAAAATATGACGGCTCTATTTCGCGTCATAAAATAACAAACTACAAAAAGTATGATTGTTAACTAGAATATGCATTTTCTACAAAATTGTTATTTATTATTAATACTAGCATTGCCCGCTGCACCGCCCGCGTACAGATGACAAAAACCAAATTCTTAGGTTTTACATATTAGTATACTCTTACATTACAGTTTTTGTGTTTTTTCTCAGAAATGAGATATTTTCTCGCTGTAAAAAGTATCCTATATGTTGACCCGGATAACCAGCTATCACTATACCAAATTTCATCAAAATCCCTCCAGTGGTTTTTCTGTGATGTGGTAACAAACAGACAGACACAAAAAATCTAAAAACTATAGATTCGGCCTCTGTTTCGATAATAATGTTTATTTCAATAAGATTTTCCAATAAATATTTAATGTACAGATTCGGCTTAGTTACAATTTTATTATATGTATAGATAGGTAATAATTTTTTATTATATTATTACTTTTAATCCATACTAATATATAAAATATAAATGCTTAAGTAACGTAAGTAAAAAAGTAAGAGTCGCTAGTGATATATAATTTATTTTATTCCAGGTGAAAGTGACCCGTTAGCAATAATGCCGTTGTTGGACCGGTTTGAAGAAGTCATATCGAAGTACAGCAGGGACGAGGACAGCTCGGAACCTTTACCAAGGTAAATTTGTGCAAACTTTAGTATTCACCGATTTCAAAAAAAGAGGGGATACCTAAATCGGGTGTATGTTTGTTTGTGTATGTTACGCGTTATCTGTGGGCTGGTTGAAATTAATCCTACAATAAATAGATTATAAGTGAAGGTTGGTCTCACTTAAATTAAAAGAAATGATTTGAGTGTGAAATATTTACTTTTAAAACGACTTAGAAGTCCGTGAACTATTTAGTTGGTGAACTTCTTCCTGAAAAAAAAATGCAGGCTATTTATGATTTAAGAACTCATTCTACTTAGTTCGGATTTTTAGATTGTGAATCAAAAGAATCCTATATATTTCATGGAAAAGATTTAATCACGAACGGTATTATTAATAAAACTATCTTTTCGGATTTTGTCGCGGATTAATTTAGATTTTTCGGTTCCCGACGTTTCGAATGCTGTAAAGCATCATGGTCACGGGAGAGAAAAGGGTATATATTTAATAATAATTTTGAAGTGGGTGTAAAATGTATTTTTATAATGAATGATATCTGTACGAGTCTTCTGCCGCCAGACACCAGGCGTCGGAGGTGTCGTTCGTGCTGCGCGCGGTGGCCGCGCTGGCCGCCGCCATGCAACGCGCGCCGCCCGCGCGCGTCGACGCCGCCGCCTGGCAGAAACTCATTGGTGGGTGGTTTGTCTCTTATATTGTTACCTATTTTATATACACTTTATTGTACACCTTATACCGTAATAACATAAAGAAAAACAAAATATAGAGAATTTAAAAGATTTCTTTCAGACAACCTTTGAGTTAGGAAATATGAAAGACTGTACTGGGTGTAATGGTACAACAAACAGGTCTAAACCTAATATACAATACTACAATAAAACTTATTCTATACATAAAAGCGAAATACCACAATACTTGAAGTTCGTCAGGGAGGTTTCTCATAGGGAGTGGGTATTCTAATAATGTTAAGAAAAAAGAGATAAAATAACCTAACGAAAAGTCTAAGGTGTTGGCCTATCGTAGTTCGGTCACCGGTACCGAAGTCACGGGCAGACTGGCGGCGTACCCGTTTAATTTCGTTGTGTTAATATTATATAATTATTATGGAACGCGATAATTTCAAAAGTTCTATAGTGTATGTGTGTGTGTGTTTGGTTGCAGACGTGTACCCGTCGCTGGTGCGGCTGGCGGGCGGCGGGCGCGCGTGCGCGGGCGGCGCGGGCGCGGCGCTGCGCGAGGCGCTGCTGCAGTACGGCGCGCTGCTGGCGCCGCCCGCCCGCGCCGCGCCGCCCTAGCGCCGCCTGCTCTACACCGTGCGCATATAGGGCACGAGGCTCTAGGCCGCGCCGACCTAAGTGAGTGTTACACCTGCTTTATTTTTTGATGTCACTAAGGATCTCCGTCCTGGAGCCTGCTAGTGCAACTCTATTACTGTTGTGCAGTCATCTTTTTTTTGAAGTCGCTGCGGAAATCATAGGAACGGCGGACAGGGGACTCTAAGATACTTACTCAGAATTTTATTGTTGCATTGCAATGGGACATTACAGCTATTTACATCTTATATCTGTCTACATATGTATATCATTTTATACATTTTACAGGCTGTGGTATTGAATTTAAATTTTTAATTTGGTATAAAAGTTTGGAAATTATAATTCTATAAAAAATAAATGGATAAACAAACGTATTACTTTAAATTCAAATTATTACAGATATAATGTGAATCATTAATTTTCTTTATAGACATATTATACAATAGTATTATTAAAATTAAGGGCATATATACACCAAGTATCAAACATTTGCCGTCTGAGCGTATATTATACGCTAATATATTTAAAAAGTTCATGCGCGGTAATGTTTGCACATTAAAAACTAAAATACTTTTAAAAAACCGACTTCCAGGCACTAACATGTAAAAAATAACTAAACGGGGGTTTTCATTTAGAATAGATACCTAATCAGATATTTTCGAAGTCAGTGCCAGCCGATGCAAAGCAAATCCAATATATTTCGATACGTAAAACACATATTTACCTATTAGATATTCATATATTAAAATATTGTCGGCTGGCACCGACTTCTAAAATATCTGATTAGGTATCTATTCTAAATGAAAACCCCCGTTTAGTTATTTTTTACATTTTAGTGTCTGGAAGTTGTTTTTTTTTAAGTTTTTAATTTTAGTGTAGACGTAATAAGCAGTTAATTTATTAGAATAAGTTTTTTAATAACATTTTCGATTAAGCAATTTGTTTAAAAAAAATATTTATTTGTTGATTTAAAAAAAACCGCTCGACCGATTTCGATAAAATTTACATGGGACCACCTGAGAAGCCTTTAAACCCTTTGAAACAAAAAAAATACAAATCGGTTTAGGCATCTTCGAGTAATCGGTGAACATACATAAAAAAAGATTCCGACGAATTGAGAACCTCCGCCTTTTTTGGGAAGTCGGTTAAAAAGACGTACACATTGACCCTTAAAGTTAGTTAATGAATTTATTATTATTTAACCGAATTAGACATATTCAAATTTATAATTCATATTTTTTTATTTCAGTGTCGAGCTCGATGCTTCCATGTCGCTGTGGCTTAGTTATTAGACGGTTAAATATTAGAAAAAAGTGAATTATAGACTTTATAACAAGTTGTAGAAGCAACTTTATTGCAACTCTAAGATTGCCGTGTACAGACACCCGGACGGATAGATTTGTATATAGCTATAGATTTATTACGTGTCATACATATTATATATTATTTAATTTAGTTAAATTAAAAAATCAATGAAATATAATTTAAAATATTAATATGATTTGTCTTTTGTCTCTTTATATCGTACATTGCTATATGAGCTAATTTTAATGACTTAAATAGACGCATCACCCACTAATGCTCTATACTGGGATACATTTACCGGTAACCGTTCAAGGTAATTTAAAAACTAAGCGTGCTTTTAAATCAAAAATAAATATCTTTAACCAACTTAAAAAAGAGAAGTTCTCTAATTAGCTTAATTTAAATTAATCTTTACGATTGTATTTTTTCTGTTTTTTTTTTAATTAGACCATTTCATATTGTGCGCTTTTAATTAAATTTAAGCTAAGTATCCATTTTTTAGAATGATTAAGTATTTGAATGAGTATGCGAAGAAACTTAAATTATAATAATATTTAATTATAATAATATATAATTCATCTGACTGTTTGTCTTTGTGCAATAGCGAGTAAAACTGCGGGCTATAACTTATTAAGTGTTAATTAATGTAGAAATACGTCATTGACAATACAGAAAATGTTTTTATGTAAATATATAATTTATTGGATAGGTTACATTGTGTATGTCTGTTCTATTTGTAGTGATGTCATTGCACTACAATCATCTTTCAAACTTGGTTTCCAGTTGAAAGTTAACTGCAATAAATTGATTTGAGTATTTAATCTTATTATAATTATATATTTTTTTCCTTAAAAAAATTGATATGATATCTAAAATGGATATGTTTTTTTTTTCAGTGTTATTTAATATGGATACGGTTTTCATATAAACGTTTTTAATGTACTAATGTTGCAGCAATTCATTCACGTATATTTGAAATTAAACTGCTTAATGCACACTGGCTTTAACACCTCCAGGTTAATTTCTAAGAAATTAATTAAAATTCTAAGAAATCTGTTACTAACTGACACGCCGGCGTGTCCGCGGTCGTGGAGGGATTAATACAAGTATGATATGGCTTACAATGTCATTTTACTGTGGATGTATAAGAGCCTACTATGAGGTAGTAAATCAACCGCCGAAGCAACCTTAAAAAGTTATTATTATTTATTCATATTCATATTTATATCCCTATAATTATTTACGTCTTATGTCCACTTTAATAAACGACGAGTGATATTTATTGAAAATAATCTTTGTATATATTGAAAATTATTGTAATATTATTAAATAAATTGCTTTAGCCATTGTGCGTTTTAAATGCAAATATTTGATGTAAGATATTATGTAATAGGTATTGTGTATATGTCGTGTTATGAATATGAAAAATAAGGGATCAAATGAATTTATTATTTATTAATAATTAATTAATAAAACTGACCATTATTATACTATATTACTAGCGACTCACCCTCGGGTTCGTCCTTAGTGAAAATCCGTACATTTTTCCGGGATAAAAAGTAACCTATGTGTTATTCTAGACTATTTTTTATCTATCTCTGTGCCAAATTTCATCTAGATTCGTCAAGCCGTTTTGGCGTGAAAGAGTAACAAACATCCACCCAGCCATCCTCACAAACTTTCACATTTATAATATTAGTATGGATGTTGACACCAATCTTTATTGTAAAAGTAATCCTAATCCTGAATGTAATATAATAATAAGACAATTTATTTCAAGGTATGTCCATATAGTGTTAGTAACAATGATTTTAAGAGCTAGTGTAAAAGCAGCATAAATTTATGTTTTTTATTACTATTAATTTTTCATAAGAAGTTGTATCTAGAATAAAGGAAGAAGTTCGGAACATTTGATCCCTTATTTTTTTTACAAATAATAATTAATAATTAGAGAGCGATTTATCATTGTTACTTTTATACATTTTTCATGATATTGTAGCATCACATAGTAGATTTGTGAGTATTGTAGTGTAGGTAGGTATCGAATTTAGTATTAAAAGACACAAACGACGATTTCACGTTATATTTATTAACTAGCGACATACCCTCTTTTCGCTCGGTTGCGTCCCTAAGTACGCGAATTTTGTTCGCAATTTCAAGGATTTTAATTTTTTTACGCGGAACCCTAATCCTTTTTCTTAAATAAAAGCAGCATAAGTTACTCCTTATAAAATCGGTCCAGCCATTTCGAGATTAGCCGGAACAAACAGACAGACAAAAAAAATTAAATAGTTTTTTTTCTCTTTTAAGTACCGTATATACATACTTTCATATGTATTTACTATTTAAGTAAAAGGCTGTTATTTCGAAATTATAAACAGATACTTCATTTATATTTATCTACCGTACTAATAGTTTCACTTTGTATTATATTCGAAAAATCTCGAAAATATGGGCATGTCTAGATTTTTTAATCATCGCATCAAAGTCACTTCGGAACATTCCTTATGAATATACAGTGTATCAAATAGGGTGAAAAAGTAGCGTTAGTATCTTAAAATAACGCCATATTAATTGTTAGGTTAAGTAACATGACACAATAGCCGCCATTTTGGCTTAACTAACGTTTCGCATTGTAACACTTAATAAAGGCGCGCTTATTTATATATTATATAATATTTCATCCAATACCTTTTTATATTGCACTAATATAGTATAGACTTTTACTAATAATGTATAGAGTGCATAATATCTTGTCAGTTATGTACGAATTCTTTTTTAAACATTATTTATAACGGCCAGTGCAAGGAGGTCTGACTTGAAGAAGTAATTTTTATTTAAAATATATAATTTTTATGATATCTGTGAATGACTCCAATGAATAAGTACAAAAAACTGGTATACCAAGATCCTTTTGCAAGATTGCTACGTTCATAGCGTATTTAAGCAAAATATTTTTTTTATATACAGTAACAAAAGGGAAAATATGTTTTGACCGGGGTACCTATTAAAATGTGCCCGCCTAGTATGTTTAATTAAATTAATAATAAATGATTTTTTGGAATCGTTGCACTTGATATTCAAATGAACTTCCACTTCACAGAAATATACGTAGAGAACTTGAAAATGTGATAGCTGCCGTTGCGCACTTGGCCGCAACCTCTTAGCAGCCAGGTGTAAACGCGTCATATTTTGTTACATTTATACTTTCATGGCGTATATTCATTATTTATATATCAATTTAAAGCTAATTTTTTTCTGTGCATGATAACCTACGTTTGCCTATGTAAAAGTGGCCGCAAAAGGGGTTACCAGTCGTTAAAGATTTTTTTGTTACATTTATATATTCATGGCCTATATATTCATCATTTATATATCAAATTAAAGCTATTTTTTTCGGCGTATGATAAAACCTGTGTAAAAGTGGCCAAAATTTTTTTTGATCAAATACGCTATCAACGTCTCAATCTTGCAGCCGGATCTTAGTCCATGGCTTTGACATAAATTTTAATTTTTTGAGTTATGCCCTTTTGCATTGACGGATTCTGGATTCATGTCTATTATTATTACATACTTCTTTCTTAATAATACTATTTTTTGTAATTAAACAGTTACATCGAATATTGTATGTATATATATTATATAGTATATTATTCTAGTTTTACGCTCTAGATTAGCTAACTCTAGACTATGTTTAGTGACTTGCTCCTTACGTCGCTTTCACGACCTAGGCTTACTTCATGTCGCCAACGTTGACATTATCTAAATAGCTTTTAACTTACATTATATAAATACCTAATCTCCAAAACCTTTCATAGATTCTTTGGTTCTCCTTACTATAAATAGGAATTTGACATGATTTGTATAGACCTTATGTCACATGTTTATGTGTATGCTAGTGAGGAAAACCCAAAGACATAGAGTGGACTGAGTGTTTCTTTGCCAGCCGTCAGCGCGGCATGGCGGAAAAGCGCGACCGAGAGAAAACAAATATGCGACCAGAAGTCTTCTGTATCAATTGAAATACGTTTAATGAAGATAGATATTTATAACCATTTATAAATTTAAATTGAAATAAATGGAGGTAGAGTGGTCAATTTCATGAGAGTATTGCTCAGTTCATTCTCTAGGTCTATGGGGAAACCACAGATGGATAGATTATTGGGTCCGTAGTAAACCGTTTTAAGTAAAGGCCGCCCCACACTCTAGTACCGATCACAGTCCGTTCTCGGTCCGATATTAGTCTGGTAAAGTGTATCTATACAAGAAACGTTGCTGGAGCGTGATTCGACCGGAACGTGACTCTTACTGATAGTATGAATGCAGTCATTGTTTCTTGTATAACAATACCAGACCGATATCGGCACTATAGTGTGGAGCGGCCCTAATGGTTCTAGTTAAAAATGATTGTAAAGTTTTTTATATGACAAAACCAAGTTACCATTTGCAATAGCTCTATGATATAAAACCCATCGAATACATCTAGTACGTGTTTGATTTTATATATTAGTTGTGCGTTAATTATTTTTGTAATTCTTTCTATCTGTCGCCTAAAATGTCTTATTCCTGCAAACGGTACGCGCCAAAAAATGGACGCCAAATATTTGAATAATTTACTAATATACTTCCGTTTTAATTAAATAATATATTTGTTATTTACAATATTTAAAAATATTATTTTTAAAACTCAAAAAATTTACATTAATAAACGATTTTAGTTTATAAGTGATGACTGTAACCTCGTGGATATTTTAAATAACTTATCATGGCTAAGAAGTCTAACCTTTGAAAATTCTATTACATATACAGCTGCAGATACGTAATAATAGGTAATATTATGTGCGGGTCGTATGACATTTTCAAACCTACGAAGAAATTAATCAAATATCGCAAGCGGTCACAATCTAAGTTGACCAGCCATCGCTTTTTGTCAGTTTAGTCACCATTTTTGTCTCAAATATATGTTTTACGCTAACATTGAAATTTAAACATAAATCGCATGAAAGGTA